CTTCAACTATTTTTTACCGACTGAAACACAAATTCTAGTCGAACCCCCAACCTGGAGTCTGGATTTCGTCTAACCTCTACCGTTCCACCTTCCAGGCATGATCAGATCTTCGGCTTAAACAAGCCATCCTGTGTAAATCGTTGGGTCATCGAGGTGCACAAGCCATCACACCATGTCAAGGTGTAGTCTTGTCGTGATGGTGCTTAGTGTTTAAGCATACTTCGCATCGATTCCACAACGATTTGAAAAGTTACAGGAAAGCTCTTCTAGCTTCATCTATACGGAGTTGGATTTCATCCTTAGCCCAACCGTTTGATCTTATTGTAGGGCCAAGGTACTTGAAAATTTTGGTTGATTCGACAAGCACCCCGTTAACTGAGAGGGGCTGTGTCATGGCAGAAGTTTCGGTCGAAAATGTCGGGAAGCTGTACATGGTGTCTCCAAGTACAACGACATCCGCAAACTCGAGGTCAGCAACCTATGTACCTGGACTAAGCTGTACTCTGGGGTAGTCAATGAGGCCCTGTCGCGTTATCGATTCTACGGTGTAACTGAATAACACGGGCGATAGGGAACAACCTAGCCTGACTCCAGAGCTGAAGGTAAACTCAGCGGTTTCTTCTCCCTAGGTACGGACGTGTGCTCGGGTTCCTGAGTAGCATGACTTGAAAAACCTGACGAACTTTTCAGGCACCCCGTCGGACCGCGATATGCACCACATGGATTCTTTATCCACAGAGTCCAACGCAGTGCGGAAGTCAACGAAACATGCTGTGATAGTCTGTTGGAACTTGTAGCGGTGTTCTAGAATCCTACGGGGAGTGAAGATTTGTTCAACACAGCCTGTTCCGCGGTGAAACCCTCTGGGTTCGGGCGAGTGCGGGTATCTCACACGACTGCGAAGCAGTATCATCGCAAACAATTTGGCCATAATACCAATGGGGCTAATACCCCTGTAATTTTCGCATCTAGATTTGTCACCCATTTTTGGAGCCGGGACTAAAATTGAAGCCGTCCAATCTTTTGGAGAAACTTCTCTTTCCCAAATGGTGTGGAGAAGAAACTAAAGCGGATCGGCCACAGTTGGTAAGCAGGCTTTAAAAAAACTGGTGATATCCCGTCTTCTGCTATAGGCTTAGCCTTCATTCGAAAACGAAGCAATCCCGAACAGTTCATCAACCGCCTCAGCATGGTCGGGGAAGTCTCGGGTTGCAGTTAGTGACTCTCTTCCGTTGCACCTCGCAAAATGCTCTCATGCGACCAAGCGTCTCGAATACCTTCGGCTCAGAAAGCACTCCGCACTGCCTTTTCGTGGCGGGAGTGCATCCCCACTAATGAAAGGACCAAAAGTCAATATCTGGAGCCATAAGCCTGTCGGTGGACCATTCGCAGTTCACCAAGGGGAGCTGGCCAAAGGTCGTATGATCCGATGTACTAGACACAGGACCTGCATGGATTGCAATTCTTGCATACCGCCTAGCTGCATTGTGGGTCAGGCCTTGGGTAACCGGACGTCCCGGTTGTGGATTCCCTGTGACCATTTACCTGCTTTGGCTAGGACAACCCAACGGTACCATGCCCTAGAGTAAATTATGGACCTGAATTCTTTCAATAAAGAATATTGTACCGCGATTTCGTTGGCACAGTCTAAAAATAAATAAATACCCTAGGAACAAAGACAACTCGTAGTTGATAATCAATCTTTCATTGTACAGCAAGCCACCAACTTTCATTGGAAATCGAATATACGATGGAGTTCTGACTAATTAGTTAAAATCACCCCGTTTACAGCACTCACAGCGTATTTCATGCTTCAGAGCTACGATTAATGTACATCGCACAAATATTCTCAATTTTAGAAAAAACGAATACATGACCCTTAACCGCTACAGCAGATCTCGGAGAGCAGAGCTGTGTGCTACCGAGCGCATCCACAGGTCGCGGATAGAGGAACGGCCAACATCTAGCGGCTAACCGTGAATGTGGGGTTGGCCACCGAATAATCGGTCGCGGACGAGAAGCGGCAGCGCTCGAGGATGTGGTGGGTTTACCCATGGCAAGTGTTCTCCACACAAACCACCACATATATCTGTGGACAGCGCTGTAACGCG